ATGTAAAGGGGTTCTCTCTGCATCTGAATGGAAAACTACCGAAGGATTAACAAACATCCCCCCCCCTTCGGAAAAATAGGATTCTCTGTTCTCACCGTAGAAACCTTTTCATTGATTGGAGGACGGGCGGACATCTTGTACTGATCATTAGTTTTGGTTCCATTACTGGAAAAATTCAAGGACTTCTATTCAAACCTTTCTGCTCCCAATAAGGCCGGAGTGCATCCAGTTATGGTTGTCAAGGCGCTCAATGCCTTCCTCGGGGTTTGGAAGTTCAAAATGGAGTCTGTTCGGTGGTGGCCTTTCTTCACCGGGGGAATTTTCTCGTGTCGATTGATATGAGGATGCATGTCCCCATCTGTCCAGCGCACACACGCTTCCTGCATTTTTCTGTGGGGGGTGGGGGAGAACATTTCCAATTTGTAGCCCTCTCGTTCGGTCCCTCAGGTTCTCCTCCCAATATTTGCCTTTAGACCGCTTTGGGCTTTGATGGTGGCTTCCCTGGACGGCCTCCTCCTCCTCTGTGCAGAGTCTCATTTGGACCCGGACACCAATCAGAAAGTTTGGTGGCTGGGTGTTGAAGATCAGATAATCATCTCTGGTGGCATCTCCGGGGGTTCTGGGACCTTCTGTCCCTATGGACGCTCTTGGTCTTGTTTTGCATGTGGAACAGGATAATATGCACCTCCCTCCCTAACCCCCCTCCCCCCCCATATCGCTCAGAGTCTTCTGGGGAGGAGGATGACATCCCTACGGCTTCTGTTAAATTGGGGGCTGTGGATTCTGGCCGGTCTGGCAGTGACCTGAGGCTTTGAATGTGTCTGCAGGTCGTGCTTCATGTGAACCTTCATACCCAGGCCCGGATTTCCCACAAGGCCAGGCCCGGCCTCGGGAGCGCGGGGGGAGCGTATTGTGGAACCCGGCCTTGGGGCGGCAGGGGGAGTAAATCCGGCCCTGTTCATACCTTAATCTTCTCTGAGGGTTTACCGGGTTTCTTGCTTCCGAACCTTGCGGGCCGGTACAACAACCGGGGTTAAAGGTTCTGCACAGGCCGACTCCGAGAGTAGGAGAGGGATGGGATTCATCGAAGCTTCCCTTAGACCTCCTTACCCTGAGACACCAGAACACAGACCTCCAGTGACATCAATGATGATATCCAAGGTGGGTCTGAAGAGATGTCGCCCCGTGAAGACCGACCGAGACCTTGTGCTTTGGTTTACGGCATCGGCCCGGACATCGGACCTACAAGGACACAAGCGTAGATGCTTCTAGCAATCCATCACAATGGAAGTGTTGGTCTCCAGACATCTCCCCCACGTGTTCTATCAGGAGGGGGGCCACGGTGACGGTGGGGAGATCTCCTCGGGGATGTGACCCGTCCTGCAAGGTCAGAGCTAGGACAGGGTGAAGAGCCGAGGCCACCAGAGAAAGCCAAGTGTTGGGGAGGGGGAGGGGTGGGGTTCCAATTGTGGTCCATTCAAGGTCAGAACACCCTCTACGGGCCTAGTGAGGTGATGGTCACTGGCTATGACAGTCTTGCAAGGCCTCATGGGATTTGTAGTTCCACAACAGCTGGAGATCCAGAGTTTGCCCGCCGCTGGTGTAGAGGAATACCTCCAATACCTTGTTCTTCCCGGGACACTATAGCAAAACTGAGGCATGCTGGGGGCAGGTTTATTTGCTTGCCAGTGTCTGGTCCTCCTGCAGGTGGCAGTATAACTGTATCTGAATCCCTATGTACAGATACCGAGAATGACACCCGGCATACAGGACAAGAGAAGTGGTACTGTGCAGAGTCCATACATACAGAATAAGGACAGATACCGAGAATGACACCCGGCATACGGGACAAGGGGAGTGGTACTGTGCAGAGTCCATACATACAGAATAAGGACAGATACCGAGAATGACACCCGGCATACGGGACAAGGGGAGTGGTACTGTGCAGAGTCCATACATACAGAATAAGGACAGATACCGAGAATGACACCCGGCATACGGGACAAGGGGAGTGGTACTGTGCAGAGTCCATACATACAGAATAAGGACAGATACCGAGAATGACACCCGGCATACGGGACAAGGGGAGTGGTACTGTGCAGAGTCCATACATACAGAATAAGGACAGATACCGAGAATGACACCCGGCATACGGGACAAGGGGAGTGGTACTGTGCAGAGTCCATACATACAGAATAAGGACAGATACCGAGAATGACACCCGGCATACGGGACAAGGGGAGTGGTACTGTGCAGAGTCCATACATACAGAATAAGGACAGATACCGAGAATGACACCCGGCATACGGGACAAGGGGAGTGGTACTGTGCAGAGTCCATACATACAGAATAAGGACAGATACCGAGAATGACACCCGGCATACGGGACAAGGGGAGTGGTACTGTGCAGAGTCCATACATACAGAATAAGGACAGATACCGAGAATGACACCCGGCATACGGGACAAGGGGAGTGGTACTGTGCAGAGTCCATACATACAGAATAAGGACAGATACCGAGAATGACACCCGGCATACGGGACAAGGGGAGTGGTACTGTGCAGAGTCCATACATACAGAATAAGGACAGATACCGAGAATGACACCCGGCATACGGGACAAGGGGAGTGGTACTGTGCAGAGTCCATACATACAGAATAAGGACAGATACCGAGAATGACACCCGGCATACGGGACAAGGGGAGTGGTACTGTGCAGAGTCCATACATACAGAATAAGGACAGATACCGAGAATGACACCCGGCATACGGGACAAGGGGAGTGGTACTGTGCAGAGTCCATACATACAGAATAAGGACAGATACCGAGAATGACACCCGGCATACGGGACAAGGGGAGTGGTACTGTGCAGAGTCCATACATACAGAATAAGGACAGATACCGAGAATGACACCCGGCATACGGGACAAGGGGAGTGGTACTGTGCAGAGTCCATACATACAGAATAAGGACAGATACCGAGAATGACACCCGGCATACGGGACAAGGGGAGTGGTACTGTGCAGAGTCCATACATACAGAATAAGGACAGATACCGAGAATGACACCCGGCATACGGGACAAGGGGAGTGGTACTGTGCAGAGTCCATACATACAGAATAAGGACAGATACCGAGAATGACACCCGGCATACGGGACAAGGGGAGTGGTACTGTGCAGAGTCCATACATACAGAATAAGGACAGATACCGAGAATGACACCCGGCATACGGGACAAGGGGAGTGGTACTGTGCAGAGTCCATACATACAGAATAAGGACAGATACCGAGAATGACACCCGGCATACGGGACAAGGGGAGTGGTACTGTGCAGAGTCCATACATACAGAATAAGGACAGATACCGAGAATGACACCCGGCATACGGGACAAGGGGAGTGGTACTGTGCAGAGTCCATACATACAGAATAAGGACAGATACCGAGAATGACACCCGGCATACGGGACAAGGGGAGTGGTACTGTGCAGAGTCCATACATACAGAATAAGGACAGATACCGAGAATGACACCCGGCATACGGGACAAGGGGAGTGGTACTGTGCAGAGTCCATACATACAGAATAAGGACAGATACCGAGAATGACACCCGGCATACGGGACAAGGGGAGTGGTACTGTGCAGAGTCCATACATACAGAATAAGGACAGATACCGAGAATGACACCCGGCATACGGGACAAGGGGAGTGGTACTGTGCAGAGTCCATACATACAGAATAAGGACAGATACCGAGAATGACACCCGGCATACGGGACAAGGGGAGTGGTACTGTGCAGAGTCCATACATACAGAATAAGGACAGATACCGAGAATGACACCCGGCATACGGGACAAGGGGAGTGGTACTGTGCAGAGTCCATACATACAGAATAAGGACAGATACCGAGAATGACACCCGGCATACGGGACAAGGGGAGTGGTACTGTGCAGAGTCCATACATACAGAATAAGGACAGATACCGAGAATGACACCCGGCATACGGGACAAGGGGAGTGGTACTGTGCAGAGTCCATACATACAGAATAAGGACAGATACCGAGAATGACACCCGGCATACGGGACAAGGGGAGTGGTACTGTGCAGAGTCCATACATACAGAATAAGAACAGATACCGAAAATGACACCGGCATACGGGACAAGAGAAGTGGTACTGTGCAGAGTCCATACATACAGAATAAGAACAGATACCGAGACTGACACCCGGCATACAGGACAAGGGAAGTGGTACTGTGCAGAGTCCATACATACAGAATAAGGACAGATACTGAGATTTGTACCTCCTGCAGGGTGTCTTCAAATTTCGGGGTGAGGGGAATCGGTGTAATGTGTGACGTTGCAGTGCAGGTATCTGTCTCCCCCTCATGGCAGGATTCCGGGGATGAGGATAACAGGGATGAAGATGACGATCTTCCGTCATCTCAGCGGAGCACTCACATGTGTCAGGAACGGGGCGGGGTCTCCTCAGCGCAGATACCGTAGGAGGTGTAACTCCGCCTTAGTGGGCAGGCCCATGCTTGGATGTTTGCCCCGCCCCCTCGCGCCGTCTCTATGGCAACCGCCACCGCTTCCAGCAAACTTCAGGCAAACGAGCGGAGCGCGGTGAGTGCGGAGAGTCCCGGGGTGTCCCTGAGAGTCCCGGGGTGTCCCTGACAATCCTCGGGTGTCCCTGACAAATCTCGGGTGTCCCTGAAAGTCCCGAGGTGACCCCGGGGTGTCCCCCGTCCTCTGCCATCATTACTTCTTCCTCACTTTGACCTTTAATAACCCTGTCATGGGAGGAGAAAGCTGCCCCTGCAGTCTATCATGTTGATCCTCTTGCTTCCCAACATTCCCGTTTACAGATATGCGGATCAGGGGCCTTTTATTTGCTTGCTTGGCTTTGAAGTATTGAACCCAGAGGATCAGCATGACACCCAGGTAGCTCTTATCTGAGTGCGTGTTTTGCATGGCGGTATTGAAGCCGGAGGATCAGCATGACAGCCGGGGGAAGTAGCATTTTCTGCTGGTCTGTGTGAGGTGACTGTGTGGTGTTTCTTCTCTCCCTCCAGGTGGGAAGGAAGAGCCGGCGGGGGCCCCCGTGGTCGTCATGGAGGATTTGGGGAGTCACCGGTGCCACAACTGTCACATGATGTTCCGCTCCCTCCCCCTCCTGGAGAAGCATCGGGAGAAGTTCTGTATCGGCAGCCAGATCGGGGACCCCACAGTACTGCGCTCCCGCTATGTCAGCTCCCCACTGCCGGGGAGAGATGGGCCGCGCCTGGCCGCCACCCCTGACTTCACGGTAATGAGGTGGGGGGAGGGGACATTCACCAGAACCGCCGCGCATATTATATTCTAGGGAGAGCAGCCAATCGGAATCCGTCTGTCACCTGACCTGACAGCAAACTGAAATCTGACTGGACGTTGTACATTTATAGATCATCGCATCGTTTATCTTTTCCATTGCTGCCAACCCTTCCCTTTCCTATGGAGAGGCGGGAACAAAGCGATGCCCCTCCCCCATGGATCACCCCGCACAGCGTCCATATTGGGGGGGGGAAATCTGCTCATCTATGGCGGCAATATAAATATCTGACTTCAAGGGACGACTCGGCCTAAACCAAAAGAGAGTCAGTCGCAAATAGTCAGCGGAGAAGAGTCACGTGACCACTGTGTAGGGGAGGAACACTGACAGCCGGGGAGAGTCACGTGACCACTGTGTAGGGGAGGAACACTGACAGCCGGGGAGAGTCACGTGACCACTGTGTAGGGGAGGAACACTGACAGCCGGGGAGAGTCACGTGACCACTGTGTAGG